GAAAATATGAGTAACTTTTTTAAGATTTTTTTTTTTATATTCATATTGACTCCGTATTTGAGGATGCACGCGATGATGTGTCTGTAACTGGTGTCGTGTTTGTAGCGGCAGTGCTGGTTTATGTACCCGCACTGGTGCAGGTGGAAGAGAAAGAAGTCGCTAACCGAGTGGTCCTCGCTCTCCAGAAGGCGCTCGATTTTGGTGAGAGGAGGGGTAGAAGTGGCAGTTTCTGGAGTGACACATTTTGGAGTAGCACCTTCTCGAGTGGCACTTTCTGTAGTGGCCTCTGCAACGGCGCTCATAGAAAATGATCCTGTCGCATTGGCCTCCTGTACGGGTGTCTCTTCCTCCTGAAGCAGCTCCAGGCAGTCTTTCCGGTAGGCCACGGAGTAGTCCGGTTTGCGCAGGTGCAGCAGGAAGTTCAGCACGTCGTTCATGGGCTGCGGTGTGGGGGTGGTGTGGAAGCGGCGTGGAGGCCGTTTAAAGGTGGTGTGTAGGCCATTTCGAGTCGGTATCACCTCCCTGTAGTGGCCTCCTCCATGTAGTGGCCCCCTTCGCGCGTGGCCTTACCAGCATGCTGTCCGCGTTGATCACGATGGCCCCCTTGACCAGGTTCGTTACGTTAAACTTCTCCGCTGCGAATTGGGTGCAGGGGTGAAATTGGGGGAAAAAACCCATCGGGGGAAGGAACGGTTTGGCGTAATGTCGAACCGCTGCTTGGTCGTGAGCTAAGGATCCCCTCCCCCGCCGCCGCATCAGGCATCCACCTTACATAGGAATCCCGAATCTAGGCAGTACAGTAGGTAGTCCGACAGCCGGTGCAGCACTCGGTTGATTTTTATCTGTTCGCTTCGGTGGGTGTCCAGGAGGTTCACGCCTGGGGAGTGGAAGCCAATTGTGGAGCGTAAACCGGATTGTGCACTGAAAGCCAATTGTGGAGCGGTAAGCCAATTGTTCCGCGGCAACCCGATCGTGCAACGGTAAGCCCACCCGGAATCCGGTTCAGGATGACGTTCAGGAGATAGTCGAGGTTTCTCTCCACCTTGGTGTCCTCCCCCAGGAAGTCCATCACCTCTGTGAGGGGAAAGGGGTGTCGCCACCAGGGGCACACACTCATTAGCATGGGGTGATCGAGGTGGGATGATCGACGCGGGGTCACCAACCCGGGTGACTGAGCGGACTATGCAGATGAATAACACACAAGGGGGCGATAACACGCTACTCCTTCCCTTTGTGGACATCTGCACCGACCAGAATTAATCACGACGTCTCCCTCCTTCAGTATGACCAACATAGACTTGAAAAAAATCTTCAGGTGGTCAAAGTAGGATGGCTAAGTTGGGACAAACGTGAAAATGTGTAACTCATTTTGCAGCGCGGTGAACGCCGGTGAACAGAGATCAACAATGGGGGGTTGCTCCTTCGCTGCTGCTTCTCCGCGGTCGCTTCTCCTCGGATGCTTCTCTCCGAAGAGGTCTCCCCTTTGTCCCTTCCCCCCCCTGACTTACCTTTATTTTTAAGGCCGACTCGAAATATGCATACACGTCAGAGTTGTAAAGGAGGGCATCCACTTGGACTTGTATCAGATTGGCGTAACTGAGGTGAGTAGAGAAAGGAGGAGTAGAGACAGGATGAATGGAGACAGGGAAGGAACATTCTCATCTCTTGAACTGTTGTGTGGGTTGGCAGCATGGGAGTGCTTCTTCTCCCAGTGGGGACCCTCGTGCCCACTGTTCGCCCATCAAGGAGGATTTATTGCTCAAAATCGCCTGCATTCGTTCAGGCGTTGCAAACACATGCGCACGTTCATATGTTAATATGTCCGTGTGCTCGCTGCTCATCTCTAATTGCGCATCGCTCGTGTGTGTGTCTCTTCCCTACAAGGCGTTGTGAATGTCGCTGGGTGTCATCGAGTTGGCCACCACGTACACTTCTGCATGCAGGTCCTTATCGGTAACGTTGAACTCTGAAGGGGGGGCAATCGGAGCAAAAGCGAAGGGGAGGAATCTATGCAGTGATGAGACGTCACTACTGAATGGGGTGGGTAAAGGATGGATCCTATAAAGACACAGAAGACAGCTGAACCAGTTTGAAACTTCGCTAATGGCAGGAGGTCCGATGGAGATACTAACCCTGCTGACTCTGGTGAGAGATTTTAAACGTGATAAATATGTCTTGACTTTTATCCAAAAGAGGGGGGATGACTGCAATTGGGAAAGGTGAAGACGTGTCTCGTTAGATACAACACTTACAGGTGATGATGCGCTGATGTGGAGTCACAACCTAGGCGAAGGAACAACCCCACTGGATACACCTCGTTGGATACATCTCCCTGGCTACCCCCCCTCGGAGAGCCCCACTCTACATGCCTTCTATACTTACACGTCCTCCTAAAAATTATACATACAATGGTGTGCGTCTCATTCTTCAAGTAGATCTAAAGGGGAGGGGTTGTCAGCGTAACGACGTGTGAAGGGGCGCCCACGGAGGGAATTGCGAGCCGAGACATGCATCCAGCTGTGACTATCCCTGACGACCTTATGGGTACCTATGTAGTCACACAAGTAACAGCCTTTTCTCCGCTCCGAAAAAAAAAAAAAAAAAAAAAAACACACCGTGGCAACTCCCAAACCAACCTCGTATCCAGACCACTTCGCCAAGTCGTCCGATAAGTTCATCCTCTTGTAGTAAAAATTTTTCCGTATGATGAGAGGTATTTTGGAGTCGTTCTGTGTGGTGTTTAGCGGGAAGACGGCACGCAAATGGGTGTGTATTAAGTTACCTCCGCGGGTTGTTCTGCGGGCTGCTCTGCACGCACCCACACCTTTCCTCTTCGACGTTGCTCTCACATGGGTGCGCTCATATAATTACTATCAAAAAATTGAGGTGGCTGCTCGCCAGCTGGTAAAAGTTACTGTCCGCCGTCTGCAAAGGTGCGCAGTAGGGGTGTGTTGTCACACGATGAAAATAAAGCGCAACATAACAACTTTTCTTTGGAGGAGTATCTCCCTGCTTGGGCATATGCACAGGAGAGTTTTCACACGAGAGTCTGCACACATGAGCCATTCACTTTGCTCTTTTTTGTAACCCCATCCAACTCGATCATGCTCTTCTGGTCGTCTATCTTTATGCTTATTTCGATTCCTATTTTGAGAAGAAGAAAAAAAAAAAATATGAACAAGTCAGCAAAGTTAATTTTAGCTAGCTCCTGAAAAGATCACTTCACGCTGCATATCTCTGTCTGTAGGGCTCTCTCCTTCACCTCTGTGATCGATGTAGAAGGTACTCTCACTCGAAACGGATGCGAAGTCTTGCCAGGAAGAGAGAGAGAAAAAAATGACAACAGAATTGTGCAAGTTAGAAGATGCTTCAAATGGGGATGCAAAAAAAAAAGTCTGCGCAGTCCAACATGTAATTTTGAGCGTGTCTTCAAACCGAAGGGGTGTACTTATACGACTTAGTGCTTTCAGAGAATAGTTCCCTCACAAAGTTGGCACGATGCTGCCACTTTTGGCACCACATTGGGCATCACTTTGGGGAGCCTAACTTTGAAAGGACTTGTGGATGAAGAAGAAGTACTCGTCGAACACGACTTTGCGGTACCTGTGGGGGAAGGGAATCAACGTTGGTGAGCTCGGCGCGAGAGAGGGGAGGGTGAGGTAAGGTAAGGCAGTCATCCAGGGGCAGATTACCCCTCAAGCAGTTAGCCGTGAACAGGTTAACGCCAACAGGTTAGAGGCCAACCAGTTGTAGTCGCCCCCAAGGGGGGAAGCATTTGAACCTACCCGATAAACGGTTGCACGGAAAGGTCGACCTTCCTCGGTTGTGAATGATGTCCGGTTCTGCGGCATCTCTCCTCGTACGTCTCGTTTGTAATTGGCACGTATATATTCTTTCCGAGGTGTCAGTGGTGGAGATGGTGAAGGCGGAAGGGGGAGGGGAAATGCGTGTTTATTATTATTGGATAATCCGATGAGGGAGTTTACATGTACACGGTAAACACATATATATATATCTATGTGTGTGTGTCGGGGTGCGCTGTCCCGGAGAAGTCTCTGCTCAGTCTCTTCAGCTGACCATGTTCAGGTTGAACATGTAGTACGTGCTGTACGCAACGCATAGCTGCTTGACGAGGATGCTCTTGTTTATTCCCTTGATGCCTATGTCGTTAATGGCCTATTTGGGGGGGAGGGGAAAGAAGACCGCAGAGTGGACACATTGCGTATCACTACCTGGAGGGGTGTAAAACTCCGCGCGCACTCCTACACAGCCATGTGCAGGCCCCCTACCGCGCCCTCCTTCAGCGTGACATGGACATAGTTGGACTCGTCGCATATATATATCTGCCGGATGTCGGAAAAAAATATTTGGAACTGAACTTCGTAAAAATCCTTCTCGTAAAAAAGCAACTTGTCGTAAGAAATGATCATGTAATACTTTCCCTTCTTTTGATAGCTAGCTAAATTTTTGCACTTGACAAACTCGAAGTGGAGGACGAGCGAGTTCAGAGATTTGCTCAGGCTCCTTCTCAGGTAGCACATCTTTTCGCGCGTGGAGTACAACAGGGCAGAACAGGGAAGAAGAACATGACATAACGGGATGGCACAACACGGAACGGGGCAGAACAAGAGAGAACAGGACAGAGAAGGACAGAACAGGACAGAACAGGAGATAACAGAACAGGACAGAACAGGAGATAACAGAACAGGACAGAACAGAACCAACGTGCAAACAAACACAGATGAGCGGCATCCAAAATGACAAGACTGGTGATCCGCGCAAAGGGGAGTCAAGCCAGTGGTTATTTTTACTACGTCCAAAAGGTGAGAAAATAATATGCTATTTTTTTTTTTTTTTTTTTTTCCCCTTTTTTACCTGAACAGGCAAGGTCAAAATGTACATTTCAGCCAAAACGCTTTTCTTCCCATTTTGCTTTCATGCGAAGGTTGTCCGCATTAGCATAGGGACGACAAAAAAGGATTGCTCACAGAAGGTGACCGAATGGACGAAACCGAAAAAGGTGTGTCTCGTAAGATATAAAAACCAGTTCCTAAATCTGAGTGATTAAAGCTTTAAAAGTTGTGCACGGCGGGGGGGGCGAATGGAAGGTCTTCCAATTGCCAGCACACGCACATAAAAAAAAAAAAACACGAAAGCATATAAAAACGCGAAAACGCATAAAAATACTAAAACAGGCAAAAAAAACTAAAACACATGAAAACGAATAAAAACACAAAAAAGATTAAACCATCAAATAGTGACGCATCAAACCGCACGTACAACACATAGCTACGTGGCGGACATCGCCTCAGTTCGCATATCCCCTGGAACGTGCCTTCCACCTCGATCAAATTTTCTCCCACTCTCAGTTACCTTGTAACACTGACAAAAGCATCAACAGCGTGTGCTCCCATTGGACACGCGATTGAAAGGGTCCCACCTTTGTGGGGAGAACATACGGCCAAACTGAAAAACGGCGTGCATACAAAACTGTGTAGCCATTTTGCGGGTCCATCTCTACGCTCATTTTGTGAACATCGCAGAGGGGAGTAACATAACTACCCATTCCGTTGCTTCCCTAATTGGATATACCCCTCCGTGTCGAAGGACGAGTGGCATCTCTAAATGCCCCTCATTACGTTGAAGAGGTAGTGGGAAGCCTCCCTCGTGAACAACCCCTTTATGTGATACCTCACGTAGCAGCAATCATCCACCAGAAGTAAAGACGGTAACGTATCGTGGGGGGTGAAAGAACCAACGGTTCTGCTCCCAGGCAGCAGCAGCGTGTTTTCAGCCTCTACACTTAATCTGTCATTTATAAAGAAAAAATTGTTTCCATTAAAATAATTGGCTTTTAAATCCTGTGCTATTCTTTTACTGAAGTATGTTGAGAGGAGGTATCTGTATGGCGAGACGTAGCAGTAGTGGAGGTGTATTGGTTGCTGTCTGTCCCTTAGTTGTACAAAATTGCCTTCCTCAGTCATTCTTATCGGCTGGATGTGCTTGGTGCACGGTTCGTCTTTTCCATGCTCTCCCTTCTGGAGCGAAAAATCGGCAAGATATTTTTTCACCTCGTGGATGTGGCTCGTGTCGGTGAAGAGGTAAAGGAGGCTAAACTTTCGAAACAGAATATCGAAGAGACTTTTCCTGGAGACTCTTCCTCTATCGTCCCCATCGGAAAAACATCTTACAAACAAATTGCTACTTATCCTATCGCTGTATTGGGTCTTTTTAATTTTCGTGGAATACAAAAATGCCTTTTCACTCCCATCACTCTGCTTGTAAAGCATGCCCTCTTGGTACTCCTTCACGTGATACGAAATGAACTTGAGGGCGGTTTTCCGTTTGGTCAAATAGGGGGAGAAGGTGTCCCGGTCGATGTGGAACCGGTCGATGTGGAACCGGTCGACGTGCAACCTTCCGATGGGTATTCCCTGCGCATTTAGGAGGCCATCCTGGTGACCGTTGCTGTCGCTCTCCACGAAGGTGACCGAGCAATCATCTTTTTTTTTCTTTTCCTCTTTTAACACAACTTGGGAGCCTTCCCTTTTGGTGTGAACACTCGAGGGGAAAAAGAAGAAAACTCTTTTTCTTCCTTTTGGGGCGGCCAGCTGGGTCAAGTGATACTTCAGATGGGAGCAACTGGAAAGGCGCCAAATGCTTCCCTGCCGATGCGCCATGGGGGCCGCCGAGCAGCACGCACAAGGGGGGACAGTTCGGCCAAAGGGGGGGGAAAGAATGAGCGAAAATGGCGCAAAGATTAAGTAAAAAAGGGGGAAAAAATGGGAAAGCAAGTGGACAAAATTGAGAAATGAGGTGGGCGAAAATGGGAAAGCAGGTAGCCAAATTTGACAAATGAGGCGGCCAAAATTGAGAAACAAATGCGTGGCAAAGTTAAACGAGAAAAGGCCGCGAACAGGACTGGCCAACGCGACGTCGCATGCGGCAACTCATCTCGAAGGCGTTGCGGGGCAGTGCCGACGCAAAGGGGAGCCGTAGTTGCACAGCGGCCAAGCGGGGGGAAAATTGCAAAGCGGAAAAGCGGAAAACAGCGAACCCGCGCGTGCAACACGGAAGATGCGAAATTTCCGTGCACATTTAAAAAAAAAAAAATGCGAATTTTTTTTTTTCCTTTTTCTAGCTCTGCTTTAAGCACATTTGGCTGTTCCTTCATTTTTGTGACTGTCCGTCTGATTGGGCGCGCTCGATTTATCACGCTCAGCTAACTACGCTCATTTGGCAACCTCCCACCCGCTGCGCTTGCCTGATGCACACTTCACCGATCAGTCGCTCATTTATTCGTGTGTCCACTTGCAGACAGAGGGCATTTTTTTCCAACTCGCAGACATCACGCATCCTTCACCCACTCGCAGACAGCACGCATCCTTCACCCACTCGCAGACAGCACACCTTTTTCACCCACGGACTCCCCACCCCCTCCCCTCAGAAAGAATGCGAAATGGGAACGATGGACATCTGCTCGTCGGGATCTCCAGTGACGCTTTTTTCAATATCACCAAATTTTTAACCCTTAACGAGGCACTAAAACTGAAGCTCGTGTGCAAGCATTTCAAAGAATACATAAAAGATGAGAAGGCCTTCTGTCAAAATGAGTGCATTAGTCTGAATAACTATATAATGTTCGTGCGCCTTGTGCACCCGGAGAAGTTCAGGTCCTTCCTGGAGTTCCTGCTAACGGACGAACGCAATGCGTACGCTAGTCCTTTCTGCGGTAAGGCCAACCGGAGAGGGGAGAGAACGGGCGAGGAGATTCCCCCCGAGAGGCCTCCTCGCCGCGAACAATCCATCGAATCGTTACCATCGCATCGTTACCATGGCATCGTTATCATCGCATCGTTACCATCGCATCGTTATCATCGCATCGTTACCATCGCATCGTTATCATCGCATCGTTACCATCGCATCGTTACCATCGCATCGTTATCATCGCATCGTTACCACCACCTCCTTGCCATCTCATCGCTACCACCACCTCCTTGCCATCTCATCGCTACCACCACCTCCTTGCCATCTCATCGCTACCACCACCTCCTT